GTGAGGTTTAATTTTGTCGGATTGCCATTCAGCGTTCATCCAAAACTGCGGCTCTCATTAATAAGGAAATGTGTCTGGTTTTCCTGGCTTGGACTCAAGGTGGGCACCAGGGATATTGACCCAGCGCTGGAGGCCTGCAGGGACTTGCAGTCTTCTGCTGACCACTGCCTCTGCGCCAATCAGCAAGGTACCCATAGCACTTAGGCCAGAGGAGCTGCTGCACGGCTGCCCACCTACTTACCCCGAAAACGGCATTTTGAATGTCATATTTAAGTACGGCTGTCAAACAATGAGTAACATCAACACCCCCCAACCTCCCCTCCCCCAGTTTAAAGGGAAAGTTTGGTGAAAAATGAAAGGTACACCCTTGTTTCCCTCGTACAGACAAAATTCAGGTTTTAAGAAGGGGGGCTGCTACTACTGTTTTAGCTGTGGGTTACTTTTGTCCACTTCTATAGGTAATAGTATGTTATAATAACAGTATGGACCTGGTTTGAGGAGGTCTATGATGATGAACTGGCAAACTCCAGTTACAGCATAACTGCAAGTCTGGTTTTTGCATTATATAGTTAAATTCTTTCTTTTTTACTTTAAAATAAGGATGTAAGTAATTAACCGATTAGCTAAGTGAACAGAGATTCCACCTTGTAAACAGCAGCATCATAAATATCTACAGTTGTGTGGAAAAGTTTGAACACACACGGTCATATTACATGTTTTGTTGGTTTTCAAAGTGAAAATAAGTGAACACATTGTCTACAGAGAGTTTTTAGCAAAGTTTAGTGCACAAATTCTATTTGTTTGCTGAGTTTAACATATTGTAAAAAATATAGTATAAAAATTTAAATGTGCCAATTTGACCGGTGCGTCTAAACGTTTGTGTACGACTGTATCTGTTGTTACTGAGAAGGAATGTTGCAAGCAGGCATTCACTATTAGGAATAAAGGTTCTGTGCAGGTACATTATTTGTTTATCAAGGTACAAATAATGTAAACGTTCCCTCAAAAGTACGACAGTGGTTTTAAGTTTTTCCAGGTGAAAAGTTCGTATTTGTACCTTTTCATAAACAAATGTTTCAAAACAGAACAATAAAATAAAAGCCTGGAGACGAGACGGGGTGTGTGGAGTCAGTACAGCTTAGAACATATCATTTCAGTGGATTATGGTTCAGTTATGTTCCCTGACTAAAGGTACTGAGATGTACCCTTGAGGGAACCACCCCAGTGACAGGAAGGGTACTGCCCCAGTGACAGTTTTGTACATTTTTTTCGGCGGTCTTGCTTCTTTGCTGTTATTACTCAGTAGCTGACGAAACTCAAATAAACAAACATTACTCAGCGTTGTCCTCTAAAGGTGTTATAGCCTCAGTCAGAAGTTAGAATTTTTGCTGTCTTCATAGAATCCAGCAAAACAAATCTTGCTTTCTTTTATTTTCTATGTTTGCCTCAAAATGACAGATGAAAATGCATCATTTTTGATGCATCTGATTTAAATTGTTTGTTGCGACACATGCATATGCTTGTAAAAGCTAAAAACTGGAAAATAATTGTGATCAGCTTAAATAACAGCAGTCAGGCAATGATGTAATAATTGTGACGGCCTAGCTTGGCTAAGACTATGGCTTTGTCCCTGTAAAATTCAGCTGTGATGAGGTGAGCCGAGTGGTCTCCACTCCAAACCCCAAAATTCTGCTGCACACATACCGGCGGGACCGTGAATCACACCACCAGCTGCAGATTAGACTGCAAACGTCAGCCGATTATGAGGAACACCTCGTTTTATTGGGCTTTGCGTTTGATTTGATTTTAATTACAGATTGATATCCGATGACTTTGGCATGTGGAGGCTCCCTGGTTTCACTCCCTCTCAGCACCAGTGCATTGGACTGGCCTTCTCCCTCTGGACTTCCCCAGTCATTAATTCGAATCCCACAGCCCTTATTATACACACACACACACACACACACGCGCGCGCGCGCGCACACACACACACACACACTCTCTCTCTATCCACAAGTGAAGCCACAGTATGCAGTGCAGCATAGACTTTTTTGTACATATTAATTACAAATATCATGAAATGGCTGAATAATTTAAAACATGCTGAAGGAGTATGAAACACCAAGTGTGTGAAGCTGGGGTCTTGCCTTTTTCTATGCTTCTTCTCCTCTATTTCAGAGACCTCTTTCTTCAAGTTCTTCTCTCATTGGACCCCTTCATTGTGCCATCCCTTATTATGGCTTCTGTGAACCAAAAGATTGATGAACTGACACTTTCTGTGTGCATTATGCTGGAAACAATTCCCATCTGCGGAATTATCGCAATAAACTATATATCATGATCCTTTCATGTGGTTTGTGATTACAAAGTGCCACATGTGAATGCTACAGAGCTTTTCCCTATAGCTCACATTTTCTCTGATAGTATTATCATTCTCATATAATTACTGTCTGGGCTAGCTTCTAATTTATTATTACTTAATTTATAATGATAACTGTTTTCTGCTGCATGTTAACATACAGTGGTTTTCTGCATTTGTTGGGTTTTAAACCAAAATATTGCCAAACTGCTGCACCCGTCTTCAAGACAGCCTTGTTATTTTAGACTTTACTCGTAAGTAGATCTCACATATTATAGTATATTCCCAAGCATTCTTTGTCTGAAAATCTATGTTATAATCTTTCCAAGTGTCATTCAGAGGAAGTGTGTGTGTAGTTTGTGAGTTCAGAACATGGTGGTGGTAGTATGAGGGAAGACTGATTGAGGGAGGGGGGAGAACTCTGAGATCTTGGGCTGGAGTTCTGGGCAGCTCCTGCCTGTAGCTGGAAGGCCAGACCCCCCTCATAGCTGTAGTAGTACCAATGTAGGACTGAGGAACAGGGAGGAGATGGGGTGGCGGTGGGGTTTGCAAACCCTTCGTCTCGGAAACAGAATTTATAGGGCTTTTGAATGGAAGAAGGAGGGATTTCAGGCAAACTCCAGTTATAGCATAACTGCAAGTCTGGTTTTTGCATTATATAATTAAACTCTTTCTTTTCTACTTTAAAATATGGATGTAAGTAATTAACCGATTAACCATTAACCAGGAAATAAACTGGTTGTTCAAGCATTGCTTTCAGTTCATTGAATTTTATTTAATTTCCTATTTGTAGCAACATCTGCAATCAATAACACAGACAACTGCGTCATCCATGTTTTCTGAGAGAAGAGTGTTTTCTGAGAGTGAGATCCACATCAGTGTGAGGAAATCACACATCGTTGTGCAAAATTATGGAGAAGAACGAGGTGGATGGCGATGTTATCTGAGAGCTCACTGAGCCAAACTTGCCCTGGTCATGGCTTTTATGTCTGAGCTAGTAACGAGAGGTAAATAAAACTTTAGATACTAATTTAGATACTTTCACTCTCAGTTCCTCATCATGATGTCTTCCAGTCACTTCGTCATATAATCATCACAGTCATAGTTTCGAGCCACAAAAACTGGGTTCTTACATGCTGTATATTTAATACGGTATCAGTTTGTGTTCTTCATATGCAAAGATGCCTGGCCTCAGCTGTCAGGGTGCATCTCAGTGCATTAATGCAGAATTCAGTTGATGTGTGTGATCATAAGTGTGAGTACATTTTTACCACAGATGAGAGTGATGTGGCAGTGAAAGTGTGCAAAAGAATGATTACATATAATGCTTTATATCGGCAGGGAATTCCACTGATTTTTCAAAATTAAGTAATCAAAAAATTTAAATTAGAAAGTAATTAAATCACTGAGATGTAAACAAAGTTATTCAGAGTCCAGAGAAATTCTCTAGACAGACTTACAGAATTGTTCTCAGTAGTGGTGATGGGAACCAGACGTCTGAACCATTTAATGCCTCTGAAATGGTTAAGAAAACACTGCTTGATGTCTGAGACTTTGTCTTACAGTAGTTGTAAGTTAAGATATTTTTTTTCATCCGTTCTTGGTGGATAGGTATGTGCAGGGCGAGGCAAAATGCCACACCTTAGCCATTATCACCATGAAAAATAAGAACTCAGAAGGCAGGTGTAGGTTCACTGGTGGTTTTGGCTAGTAAATGAAGTGGCTATATTTGTGTTGTAGACATGGCGACCCCTGGTTCCTATCACCACCACTGTAAAGAAATCTGAGTTGCTAAGTTTCTCTATAATGAACCATTTCATATCAAACCACTCCTGAATGACTTTGTTCACATGTACAGTTATTGGATTATGCAGAATTTTTGAAAAATCTGTGGATTTCCGTTTTTTTAATTGTGGCAATATTCAGTAATATCAGTTATGGGCCCAGGGCTAATGTGCATGTGTGAGAGAAAGGGGCTGTTTATGCCTCACTATTGTGCTTTGAGCGTATTGATTCAGTGGCTCCTTGCTCCTGAGACATGGCTTCACCTCCATACTCGTCAACATCGTGTCTCTCTCTCTCTCTCTCTCTCTCTCTCTCTCTCTCTCTCTCTCTCCCCCTCGCTCTCTCATTCTCTCCCTCCCTAGTTAATTATTGAACACACTGACTCAGGTTACCATATAAGGCTGACTCCTGGCTTGCTAAGCGTTACAGAGGAAGAATGGGAGAGAAGACTCGCTGAGCTGTTTGCATTGCCAAGTTGAGTGAATGTGAAAGTAAACTGTGCCCAAGCTTTTGACTCGTTCCTGTGCAAATACTTTAAGTGGAGCATTTTTTTGCATTGATTCCTCCTTCCATGTTTTAGTCTCCTGGCCATAAGTAACATACACACTCGAGGAATGTGCTGCAGGAGTCTCGCGTTGACATTGTCTGTGTTATGCTTGAGTTGTTGATGCATGATTGTCTCATTGGTATGCGTGACGTAATGCAGAATACTCTGTTTTGTTTTGTGCAGTGCTGGATGAATGAAAAATGTAAAAGTGGGTGTGGAGTTTGCCCTGATCACATGCCTGAGAAGATTAAAGTCCTAACCCATCTCTCTCTCTCTCTCTCTCTCTCTCTCTCTCTCTCTCTTTCACAGTGACAGTTACATTGTGCGCGTCAAAGCGGTGGTCATGACCCGGGATGACTCGAGTGGGGGTTGGCTAGCACAGGAGGGAGGGGGTCTCAGCAGAGTGGGCGTATGCAAGGTGATGCCCGCTGAGCTGAGTGGCCACAGTGACTTCCTCATCCATGGAGAGCGCCTCAAAGACAAGCAGGTAACACGGCTCATCATACAGTCCATATCCTGGGCACCTCAGGAACTGGCCCAAACTTCCACCTGGTTCACTGCAGAAACATGACTCTCCATGGATGGATGGATGGATGGATGGATGGATGGATGGATGGATGGATGGATGGATGGATGGATGGATGGATGGATGGATGGATGGATGGATGGATTCAACTTTATTGTCATTGCTCAGTACAAGTACAGGGCAATGAAATGTAGTTAGCATCTACCAGAAGTGCACATACTAGCAATAGTGCAAAAACAGGCCATGCAAATCTGCAATAATAGGCATAAATATAACACATCTATGAAACATATAACTATAAGAACAATAAATACACAATTACAAATATATCTATGAATATGATATATAATATATACCTGCAACTGCCATTCGCCCGTCTCCATCATCCATTGTAGGTCTGCAACAATTAGTTGACAAAATCACCAACTTTGATAATAAAATAAGTCAATGTTGATCATGTATTACTGTTACTTTTACAAAAAGCTGCTGTGTAATTCTAATATGCACCTTGAAGGGGAATTCAATGCTCTGGAGTCACTGAGTCAAAATTGTTCACCACAGTGGAAGTGATGGGAACCAGACGTCTAAGTTTCATGCCTCTAAAAGCTATCTCACAGAAAATTAATACATGAAATAATTAGTACATGAATAATAATTATTCTACTGTACATCATTTTATGACAGTTTCGATAAAGTTGGCCTACAACTTTTTATTAAATCCAATTAAGTCCAAGGCAAAATGGACTTAATTGCTTAATTTTTCAAATGTATCACTATTTTACCGTAATCAGCATGACATATAAAACTCACATAAAACACATGTAGGTCCACTGCTCATTTTGGATAGTAAATAAAATGACTATTTGTGTTGGAGACATGGCAACCCCTAATTCCTAAAACAGAACGTCTCTTGGAAGCCCAAACATTTCAGTGAAATTAACTACAGTTAGTAAAATGAATGCCATACTGAGTTAGTTGTTCAATAATGAAATGGTAAGGCTCCAGACTAACACTGTCCAGGACAGACATAGTGCACCAGTCAATGCTAGATCATGCCACGTTCCATGCATTAACACTTAAAATAAATAAGCCATAAATATAGTAATGGTGTAAACGCAGGAGTAATGCAGAAACCAAAACAAAAAATGTGAACAAAAGCAGGTTATATATATTTACATATATTTATATATACAGAGAGAGATAGATAGATAGATAGATAGATAGATATTTTTTTATATTTTGATGATGATTTTTACATATCTGGCTTCTTGAGCCATTACATTTATTTATTTTTCACTGAAACACAAGCGTAATTGTTAGATTAGTTGATTTGACAGATAAAGTAGTTCAGACAATAATAGAAATAATTGTTAGCTACAGTCTTAGTTTGCTGTCGTATAATTGTTCTGTGTTTATTTTGCTGTACCGTTCTCTAGTAGACTCTACTCTGTAGACTCTAGTCCTGGAGTACCCTGTATTGCATATTCTGCACTTACACATTCAATCAAACTGATTGGCTAATTATCATATAGCAGTTCTCCAGGGCCAGGATTGGGAACTACTGCCTTAGATAGCTCTAAAGCCTCTGGTGGTCTTTTCTGACAGGCTGTGTTGTTTTGACTGGCAGGTGATTCTGAAATGTTTCATTCGGAAAGATTTGATCTACACCAAGGCCACGCCCACGTTTCACCACTGGAAGGTCGACAACAAAAAATGCGGCCTCACGTTCCAGAGTCCCGCCGACGCCCGTGCCTTCGACCGAGGGGTGCGAAAAGCCTTGGAGGACATTACCGAAGGTCAGTGCAGCTGCAGCTGAAAGCATTGAGACCAGAATGTGACTGAGGTTACGGTCCAAAATGCGTACGCATGCTAATAGGAACACTTGTGTGTGCTAATGGGAGCACTGGTGTGTGCTAATGGGAGCGCTGGTGTGTTGACTCCCATCTGCCGTTGGTAGCACATTCCAAAACATAGTATGCATAGAAAACATAGTAGTAGCAGAGAGTATGTCATAATTCATGATTCATATTTACAAACTTAGAAAGGCTCACAGCTTCCCTTGCGGGACTTCACTGTTACTCAGCCCTCCATGGAAGAAATTTTTCTCAGTGCAAGTTAATGTTGAGTTGGAAGTTACAGTTATGTTTACCTGTTTATATGAGCTTATATGAGTGTTCAGTTTTATCATTCGTCATTAGAAAAATGCACCAACACTTTTCCATTTCTTCATATTGTATATATATTTTAATATTGTTTTGTACTAAAACTGCCGTACCTATTTAGTTAGACAGCATTGGCTAGTTTTGCCCATCGTCATGGAGCATAGCTATAGCTACCTTTAAGCAGAAAGCAGAGGCGTCAGGCTCACATTGGGCTATTTTGTATGCAGTCAGCTCCATTGGGAACAACCCATGATCAGTACTTCTGTGTAGGGATGGGTGGAGTTGCATTTTCATCAAGCAAATAAATTCCCTGGGAGCATGGCTAAACCTGCTACATTATAAATTTTAGTGACGGATGATGTCATATAACGTGTCCCAGTTCTTTCCATTTGAGCCCATGCAGCCTTATACACAGACACATATTTAGTCTAGATCTTCTCCACATAACTGAAGTTATTGGAATGTACTGGCCAAAATACCAGTATACAGAATGTAAATACACCAATCAGGAAACAGCCTGACTCATTCTTACCTTCTTAGCCTCTTTCGTAGGCCCCTGTGGGACAGTTAACATGGATAGTTTTTAATATAATCAAACAAAATATATTTTCCCCCCATAACACTGTTATCTGATAGGATGTCAACTAGGATACTGTGGCTCTGTGTTGAGCTGCTAGTGAGCAATGATGGATGAAGCGGGTGGGGGTGGTGAAAACAATACACACCACTCCACAAAGACGGCTGTGCTGAGATACAACAGAAAGCACAACTACAGCTTTCTTTACATTAAAAAATGTGTACAACTGAGAAAAAAATCAACAAAAACACTTATAAATGTTGAACTGTGAAGACAAAAACAGTTCATATTTAGTTTGGTTGGTCATACATATTACCATCAAAATGTATTTCATCAACATTATCAAAGAAAAAAAGTGTTTAACCCTTGTGTGGTGTTCAGGTCTGTGGGACCCATTTTCAGTGTTTACCAAAAGAAAAAACATGCAATGTATTATTATTATTATTTCAACCTCAGATTCCTTGGGCTTTACTCATTTTCTGTGAAATAAAATATCCCATTTTCAGTGTCTTCACTCTGTTCACCCCCCACACATTTATATTACACATGTGGTGTTGGGTGAACCAGCAGGGAATAAAAGTGTGGAGGTGCTGTGTCCCTTTACTCTGTTCTCCTCCAACATGGCCTGCTGTTAGTGTGTGTGTCTGTGTGTGTGTGTTTGTGTGTGTGAGGGTGGACAACATGCACAGGCTGCTGACTGGCTACAGCTGCTAAAGGAGAACCCTACACTGGACATTTATTTTAAACATCTGGTGTTTTTACATAAATTGTTAAAAAAACAGTGACCTCCATATTGACCAACTCAGGGACCTCCTTCAAAACAGGTGGATATAGCATACTGTAAACAGGGGTTAATGGGGCAGAGGGCCGCATCCTAATCCACTAAGGAGGTGTGAGCCTAAGCTTTTTTCACTACTGCAGAGTTTACCAACTAAATGAACTGCTCAGACATCATCGAACTGACTGTGAATTAGCCATCTTGAGTCTGTTGAAGATTGAAAGAAAAGCTTCAGCGCCGAGTCGTCATGTAGAAGCCTGGAGACTCCACAGCAGATTCTAACACAGCGATTTACGCACTCGGTACTGTTTTGCTTTCATTGTGAAAAGTACATGTTCCATTCCGCAAGCACGGTGCTGAGGCATGCCGCAGTCTTATCTGAAGAATACTTACAGGCCTGTGGGGGATCTAAATGCGGCTAGCTGTGTAACCAGCTGCAGAGAGAATACACAAGCCGCATGTTGACAATGTGAATGTGATACAGGCCTTGGCGATGGGCTCTGGAATGGCTGCTTGGAGTTGGGTTTCGTCCTCCAGTCAGCAGTCACATGTGACCGGTTGTGTTTGTTTCACTCTGTTTCTGTCTCTCCCCTCTCTCCGTCTGTCTCTTGGTGAACGCTAGCTCTCTTTCCTCTGTCTTTCCACCCCCCACCCCGCTGACCATAATAGACAGGATATGTGAGTTCTGTCCGCTCATGTCTCCTTTGTGTGTGTTTTATTTTAGGTTCCACAACTTCCTCTTCAACACTCCAGAACGAGGCAGAGCTGGGCGACGATGATGTATTCACAGTAAGCTCCTTTTTATCTCTCAGAGGAAGCGCTTGCCAGTTTCCCAGTTCCAGTTGGTGAGGACATTGTTTGTCCTTCACATATTGAAAAGACTTCAGCACAACACCACGGATAGCATTCTGATTTATTATTATTACAAAGTGCAGTTCCAGTTAGGAGTGGACAGTATGAAGATATTTATTGTTGTAGTGAAGAATACACACACTACACAACACACTTTTCTTAGCATTTTGTGGATATTGTCAGTTCTTAAAGGGGAATGCCACCAATTTTTCCAAATTTCTGTATAATTTAATCGTTAAGATGTAAACAAAGTCATTCAGAGTGGTTTGATGTGAAATGCTCTGTTCTAGAGAAACTTACAGAGACAGAATTATTCACAGTGGAGGTGATAGGAAACGGTCATCTGCAGAGTTTAATGCCTCTAAAGCAGAGGTGTCCAAACTTATCCGCCAAGGGCCGGTGTGGCTGCAGGTTTTCACTCCAAAAAAGCTGGAGCACACCTGATTCTACCTGTTTTGATTAGTTGGTCTTAGTCTTCAAACATTTCATCAGGTGACCTACAGATAAGATTGGACACCCCTGATCTAAAGGTTCCCTTGAAAATGATTACATGAAATCATTACGAATACTTTGCCTGATGTCTGAGATATTGTTTTATGTTCATTTTCCAAGAAGATTTTGGTCTAAAATGTAATGTTTCAAAGCGATTCATTCAAATTGTATTTTTTTCAGATTTACCACTGTATTTCCATTATCAGTATTACATTTAGAAATTCAGAAGACACATGTAGGTTCACCGATTGTTTTGCAGGGTAAATAAAATGGCTATATTTGTGTTGAAGACGTTGTGAGCCCTGGTTCCTATCACCACCACTATAAAGAAGTCGGCGAGTTTCTCTAGAACTTTTCACATCAAACCACTCTGAATGACTGTTTACATCTCAAAGGTTACATTTAAAAAAATAAAAAAAAAATCGGTGAATTTCCCCTTTAAAGGACACTGCCCAACTGCTCTTTCATTACACAGAGAACATAATTAGTCCTGTTTAATTAGATTTTGATAGTCTTTCCTAATTGTGCCACAGAAGTGTCATAATACTTACTGTGTATCATCAAAATGTCAAGAATTATTGTGATATGTTTTTGCAGTCGCCCACGCTTCCTGTTGTAAAACCTGAGTTGTTGTAAAATACACACATATATTGTATGCACACATTAATTGAATTCTGTATGAATGCAGAAAGCACTTGTAGAATAGCCTTCGATCATCATGTTGCTTGGCAACCATACCCTACTGTCAACGAACTACATTGCTCAGTGGAAAAATTGCTATAATGACACGGCTGCTTGATACTTGGCCTCCAGTGGCTTAGGGCTTTAGTATATGATATATGTTGTAGTATATTCAGAAGTGTATCCAGCCCACTGCTCTCATTTCCTTTGAATGGGTTTTTTTGGATTTTTTGGATCTCTTTGACTATCCCCTTGATATTATATTGTGTATATATCTACTTAAAAGGGAATTCTACCATTTTTTTTTAAGATTTCTGCATAATTCAGTGTGGTTTGGTTTGAAATACTTTACAGTGGTGGTGATAGGAACCACAGGTCGCAATAACTACAGTGCAAATATAGTCATTATGTTTAATATCCAAAACCACCAGCGAACCTGCATGTGTCTTCTGAGTTTTTATGTGTAATGTTAATAACAGCAAATTGTGGTAAAAGTAAATAATACGTTTTTTGGGCACTATTGTGCATTACAACACTCTGCATGTACACCTCTGCCATGAATGAAGTTTAATAATATGTTTTAGACCAAGACTGTGTCTCAAAACTATAGGAAAACAGTGTCTCATGTTCGTAACCATTTCATGCAACAGAGCTTTTAGAGGTGAACCGTTTTGTAAGTTTCTGTAGAACAGAGTATTTCACATCAAACCAAAGTCTGAATGTCTTTGTTTACATCTTAACTATTTAATAATGCTGAAATTTTGAGAAATTGGTGGAATTCCCCTTTAAGTGAAGCAGAGATTGAATGCCTAAACTTTATCATTCTCACCCACATAGTTCACACAAGTCCTCTTCCCTCCAGCTGTTTTTCCTATGCTTTTTTTTCACTGTCTGGGTGTGTGTGTGTGTGTGTGCATGCGTGTGTCTGTGTGTGTCTGTGTGTGTGTATGCGTGTGTGTGTGAAGCGTCCCAGAAAAGGCCGGGTCCTTGTGATATTTTTACCCCGCAGAGGCTGCAGTTGGAGAGATGGCCCTTTGTTTCGGCAGAGATGGTGGGAGCGATAACGGGACACAGGACAGTTTTCCTGTAGCTTTTTTTTGCGACTCCTCTGACGTCCGTCTCTCTCTCTCTCTCTCTTTCTCTCTCTCTCTCTCTCTCTCTCTCTCTCTCTCTCTCTCTCTTTTCCGTCCCCTTTTTTCGGTCCCAGTCACGGGAGACGAGGAGCAGCAGGCGGGGTCAGGAGGTGACTTCCTGCTCCCCTCAGTAAAACTATCATTAGCAGCTGCTTCCTAGCTAACTGCCATCCTGATTTACTGGCGCCCAGGGCAGGGGGGAGGGGCCGCGTGTGTGGAGGGGCGGGGGGTGAGTGCAGGGGAAACCTCATGGCTCCTCTTCCCCTCGCTGTCTGTCTCACTTTCAGGCCAAGAAGAGCCGACGGCTAAGCCAGGCATGCCGAGCTCCAAAGGGAACTCGAGCCACGGGTTCTTTCCGTCGCAGAGTTTACGCTCTCCGGGCGGTCTTGATTCGGATTTTTGGAGGGGGCAGTTATTTCAGTGTGTTCCAGTGGCTTGCAATTTTGTATCACTTCTATCAAGCCACTGTTTGCGTGAATCAGCAAAGCACATGCTTTTGCAGCACACAACGAGTCATGCGGCACCTCTGTGTCGAACTGCAACCGGTGCAGTTGACGGCGGCCCGGGGTTTCCACTCGTGACCTTTCCAAATATTGCTGGTGGGAGGCAAGTGGCCGCAGACAGCAGAAATGCTGTTCCGGATTTACAGCTCCAAGAGATTCTGCGGGAGGGGGGCGAACTGTTGCTGCTGCTGCTGCTGCTGCTGCTTATGCAGGCTGGGTGTACATTCCTCCCAGATTATTCCTCCTGAACTAACCTATACTTAACCCCAGACTATTTTAGTCCATTCAGAACAGGGCAGAGGAGTCATTCAGAGACTGCTGCTGAACCACGTCCATTTAACAGGGTGTGTCACTTAAATACACACACTGTGTGAGAGGCCAGGCCTCACGCTAGAACAAGAATGGCCTCAAGAACAGATTATGTACTGTAGTTCCTGGAAAAAGAAGCGGGTGAGGATATTTATTTTCCAGTTAAGCAGTGAAGCAGTGATCCATTGCACTATTAAATACAGCTTTTTTTCTTTTTAATGAATACCTGTCTCAGTTTTTCTTCTCTTTCCTTGTTCTCAAAAAAGCCCCTGTTACCTGTCCTAGGCTTAGCGAGGGCAGGGCTGTGTACACATGCATCTCAAGGCGCTGTTGCATCAGCCATAACGTTGAGCCGCCATGCAGATGAGACAATGGGAAAGAAAAGCCCGGCTCTGTATGAGTCACCGACGGTGCACTCGGCGGTAGAGCAGGCCAGTCCACCTACATACTGTTTACAACCCTGCGCCTCACCCCCACCCCCACCCCCATCCCCGCCCCCCTTCAAAAATTTGTGACGGTTCAGCCCTGTAGACTTGATATTGTGACACTTCCAGTTGGAGCTCGTAGATGGTTTAGCTTGGTGGATCGGACGTTGTTTTGGATGATCTTGTCGTGAGTCATGAGATGTTGGCTCGAAGTGTGTTTTGATCTGGAGAGACGTTGAAAAAAAAGGACAGTTCTCTCTTTCCTCTAAATGTAGTCGATCAGCTAAGGCATGTCTTTATTTTTGCCCTGGATCTACGACGATAGTGGATCTAACAAATAATGAAAGCTTGTGTGCAACTACATGAAAACTGTGTGCCTAAAGTCATCACAAACTTGCCTCTGATGGCAACGACTTGGTAGGCTGGCTTTGCATCTAGTTGCATGTTGCCTGCAACATAATATCCGTACTTAACTATTACACGAAGCAGTTCAAAAACAATCAAATGAGTTGCAGGATGTTTTACATCATGCAACTGAAGTGCAATTTAGTTTCACGTAGGTTTCAAGCAACTAAAGTTGCATGAAAGTGTCACTGTATAAAGTGTTTATGTGGTACTAGAAAATTGCACTTGTTTAAAATGCAGTCTCACTATTTGTTAATTAAGTATTAATTGTTCATCCTTATTTCTGACACTGTATTACATATCATTATGTGTAAAATGAGCAGAACCTTTTTTAAGATAGGTTAGATAACAGCATGTCATATAATATCAGAATTAAGGCTAAACAATCAACAGTTTGTATGTTGAAATCGCATTTTGAACGCATGCAATTTTCAAATCAAAAGAGCTGCAGTTTTAATTATATTACATTATTTAGCGTTATCTGTTACACTACATTCAGTGTTCGAGCCTCAAGTCTAAATAAGTGGATGTACATTTGTCTTCATGGCAAAAATAAAGGCCTGAAGTTAAATTTATAGACAATAAACACATTTAAATTGCAATCGTAATGTCAGTCAGAAAAATTGTAATAGATCTAGTCCTAAAAGGGGGGGGGTGAAAATGTTAGGTATATATATATATATATATATGTGTGTGTGTGTGTGTGTGTGTGTGTGTGTGTGTGTGTGTACATATATATATACATACGTACAGTTGTGCACAGGTCGATAAATGAGATGCAGGGTACACGGTGTAGACTATTTATATATATTCCAGATTATACAAGATATGGATTAATATGGATGGATAGAAAATTGTGTGAATTAGTTTTTTTCACTGGACTAAATATGAGAAGGACAGTGATGAAGAAGGACTGAATCAAAGCTCTTTGCTAACTTTGCATGGAGTTGAGACGCTGAAGTAGGGCCATACTAAAAATCAGTGAACTG